GAGCGGCGAGGGGAAGATGAGGCCCCTTCTGAGCCTGGCCCTCTGTACAATGAGGGTTTGGAAGACTCAGTGCCCTGAAGCAGACAGTTGGCCAGAAACTGCTGTCAGTCCTGGGTGGGAGGCAGCAGGCTACTACTGCTTGGCCGAGGAACAGTTGGGATTTGTGATGTTGCAGGGGCTTGGCCAAGGCGTGGGTGTGTGCTTTATATCCACCTGGAAAGGGGCTTGGGGGTGGGGAGGAGAGAGATGGGAGTCGGAGGCCTGGCCAAACCCCCCGCAGTCCGCCCGCCTGCGCTGAGCAAGCTCCCTGCTCCACACAGGCCTACCTAGAGTCCTTCTACAAGTTCTGCACCCTGCTAGGCGGGACCACGGCCGACGCCATGTGCCCCATCCTGGAGGTGAGTGCCTGCCCACCCTCCTGCTCGCTGGCCCCGGCGAAGTCCTGCCGACTAACTGGTTTCTGCCTCCTTCTTCCTCCCTCTCTCCTTGCCTGTGCACCGGCCCCACAGTTTGAAGCTGACCGCCGCGCCTTCATCATCACCATCAACTCTTTCGGCACAGAGCTGTCCAAGGAGGACCGTGCCAAGCTCTTTCCGCACTGCGGGCGGCTCTACCCCGAGGGCTTGGCTCAGCTGGCTCGGGCTGATGACTATGAGCAGGTGAAGAATGTGGCCGATTACTACCCGGTGAGTGCCCTGGCCGGCAGGGTGGTGGGTGGGCATATTGCCCCACGCCCCTCACCCAGCACTCACTCCTGCTCATGCTTCCCACCACTCCCTGGGCAGGAGTACAAGCTGCTCTTTGAGGGTGCAGGCAGCAACCCCGGAGACAAGACCCTGGAGGACCGATTCTTCGAGCACGAAGTGAGTGCAGGGTTCTTGCCGGGCCTTTGTCATGGGGAGGAGTTGGTGGCTCAGGCCTGACTCAGTGACCATGGTCACTGTATACCACGCCTGCCTCTGTCCACAGGTGAAGCTGAACAAGTTGGCCTTCCTGAACCAGTTCCACTTTGGTGTCTTCTATGCCTTTGTGAAGCTTAAGGAGCAGGAATGACTGTCGCACCATCGTGTGGATCGCTGAGTGCATCGCCCAGCGCCACCGCGCCAAGATCGACAACTACATCCCCATCTTCTAGCGGCCCGGCCCGGGCTCCCAAGTGCACGTGTGTGTCTGTGTGTGGGGCGATGAAGCCCATGGCTCACGCCTGCCCTGGGGGGTTGCACATTGCCCTAGTGGCTGCCCAGCCTTCCTGACTCTCTCTGAGTCTGCTCTTAGGCTTGGTAAGGGGCTGGGCACCTGTTACCCCCACCAAGGATGGACCAAGACCCCCTCCAGAGCAAGGAGGACCCCTCAGCCCTATGTTTACAGTCGCTGACATGTCTGAGAAGCATGTGGTCACTTTCATGTCCCTTTCTAACCTGAGAACCCTGCAGGGCAGTGTGAACCTCCTCTCCCCTCTGTGGGTCACTCCCAGAGCCATGGCCCATGGGAAGGATAGTGTGTCCTTGGGGAATGGGGGAAGCTGTGCTCTCTGAGACAATAAAACTCCCCTCTCTAAGCACGGCTGTCTGCTGTCTCCTTTGGGCCCTAGTACCTCTTTCAGATCCTCACTGTCTCTTGTGCACCTGTTGCTGAGCCACCCGTCTTCTGCCATGCCCTTTCAGCCAGCAGCCCAGACTCCTCAGGGTAGGGGGAGTCACTGGAGGAGAGCCCCTTCCACTGTTGGAGGCTTAGAAGCAGAGACAGATCTGGGGAGTTGGGTCCTGGCTCTGGAGGGCTCCCAGGATCCTTAATTGGTTCATTGAGCCCTACAACTCCGTGGGATTGGGGTCATGACCACCATCACACTGTGAGGAAACCCAGACCTGTGGCTTAAATTATTTGTCTGAGGTCAACCGGGGAGGGGGAAGTGTGAACCACTCTACCAGGGAGCCCGGTCCCAGGCTGAGCCCCAGAAATACTCCAGCAGTTCCCAACCCCCATCACACAACTACACTCTCCAGACACCAGCATCTCCCCCATTCTAGGAGAAATAAAAATGTGTCTTTATTTAAAAAGTGACAATCAGGCAAATAGGGTATACAGCTTCCCTGTGACTTGAGGGAATTGGGGGTGGATGGGTGGGGCCCAAATTCATTTTTTTAAAAATTTGCCAGAGGACACATGTGCTCACAAGAGGGGGGAGCACCCAAGGATGGGGCATGGGCGTGCACATGCACACCTGGCGTGTTTCTCACACCTCTGGGCCTGGGACTCAGACTGGCATGCAGATCCTTTAACTACCAAACAACAGAGCTGGCCCAGGGACCCTCATTCTTGAGCCAGTCAAGAGAGAGTTGAGATTTCCCCTTCAATGAGAGCACTGAGGCACTGGTGCTGAGGAATGGTCCTGAGGGGACCCCCACCCACCCAACCGGTCACTCAGTTTGCAGAGACACAAGCCTGCAAGGACCTATTTAAAGGCTACAGTGAAGTCTTACGCTAAACTCCCCATCCAGCTGGGTGGCTCTCCGAGCTGCAGGGTGGAGTATTATGTACAAGAGGGTCTGTTTGGGCTCATGAAGCAGTGGTCGGCCCAGAGGCTCACAGGGAAACTCATCCTCACCTAGCCTGGACTGGCCCTGGGCAGTGGGGGACTAGGGTTCTTTAGAACCAAGGCTCTAGGTAAAAGGGGGTGGGGGGGGTCATAATGCCTCCCAGGGGGCAGGCCAGGGACTCATGGAGCCCCCTGTGGTGGATCAACTAGGCTGCATACCGCTCACCGAGCTGCCACTGGGGAGGGGTTGGGGTTGAGGTTTGGGTCCTGAGCTGCATCTTGGGCCAGAGTAGGGCCAGGCTGCCCTGGCCGCAGTGCTCGAGGCAGACAGGGGTTGATGAAGAAGCTCTGCAGGAAGCGGCGCCGCAGGCTCTCAGGTAGGTAGTGGTGGATGAAGTACATGAGCCCCAGGCCATGGCCCGGGTAGTAGCGGCTGCGTGGCCGAACTGCCAGCGG